CCTGAGTCATAGGCGAGTTATAGTTGAGGGACTGAGTCACAGCGAGTCATAGTTGAGGGATTGAGTTACAAGTGACTTAAAAGTTGGAGGACTAAAAGATTAATTTTTCCTTTATTTATTTATTTTTCATAATTTCACATCTTAATAATAGTAATTTTATGAAATACTAAATTCTAGGCATTTAAAATTTGATCAAAAGGTTAAAATGATAAGTAGAGAGAAAATAAATACAAGAAAAGTTTACAGGAACATTTATTTTTATTCTTTCAGGATGTTTTAGAAACATTCTAAATATAATGCAGGCACTTTAGTATATAAAGTTTTGGATTTTTTAAAATACATGTCGGGGTTAAAAATAGATATGATAAGGCCAAGGAAAAAGAAGAAGAAGAAGAAGCTTGAACTCTAGAATTCAGGATCATTATAATGTACTCCTAGTCTTCTCCTATTTTGACATTCCATAATGCAAGCAAGCCACTGTATTAGTTCTTTGTAGATTCTAATTCATATGTTCTCAATTTGGGCTATGGATGCATTCTTCACCAATAGTTATATAAGCTCAAATAGATAGTATAATTAGAAGATTAGGCCTCGATGGTCTAGATTTTGATAAAATTTTATTTTTGTATTTTTAATAAATTATTATTTTAAAATAAAGATAATTTTATAATTATCACTTTAGCAAACAAAAAGTTTTGTGAAAATTACGTGTTAAAATTTTTAAATCTTAGTTATTAAAATCAGTTTTAAATTATCTAAATTTCATGACATGATCCCCACGAAATGAAACCAAAAACATTTCATGGAAAAATTCTATGAAGTTTCGCGCCACTGCCTTCTGTGCTAAGTTTCAATTGTGACTATAAACCAACAACATTTTAAATCTTAATATTAAATTTGGACTACATATATTAAATTCAGACTGTTTAGATTGATAAAAAGATTTATTAAATTTTTAATAATTTATATAATATTTTATTTTAATAAATATAAAATAAAAATATTAAATATTAAATCTGAATTATTTAGATTAAATTAGGATGGTTTAATTTATTTATTTTTTTCCAATGCAGAGAAGCTGCGCTGCAAAACCAAACCCTAAAATACGTTCCTGGGGAAATCCAACCCACAACAAAGTCAAAGAAGTGGGGCGAAGCTCCTAAACATTCTACCGCGGCGTGAAGGAAGAAGATGCTTAATGGATGGTGGATGCATCATCCTTCCAGTTTATAAAATATTTTGGACAAAAAATGCATATTAATATAAATTTTATTAAATAAACTGTATAATTTTTAAATTTTTAAAACACCAATATAAATTTTTAAAAAATAATCTTCATTTAATGTAACCTAATTTGTGAAATATTAAAGAGAAAAAAATATAATAAAAAAGGATAATATTTGGACAAGTATAATTAATGAAATTTTATTTTTATCAAAATGTCTCACTCCATCATGTGCAAAATATAAATCTTTTTTCCAGTTATAAAATATAAGCAAAGAATCTTAATATTTGTAAAATATATATATATATATATATATATTCTATGTTACCCATTATATTTATCAATCTGAACTTTTATTACGAACTTATGACATCCATCTTATTTATCATAAAACTAAATTAAGGATAAAAAAATAATATATTTTAATGAATATAAAAATTTTATTGGAGTACAAATTATTATTGAAAGCTATTTATATTTTACATTAGAAAGATTGTATTTTGGGACGTACTAATTTATTTTCAAATAGAAGTGTCTTGTAAACTTGCATACTTGCATGGATGGAGCTCAAGTACTGGCGTGTGAAAAGTCTAATGTCGTTTGTATGCCATCACCCTGTGGTTGTGTATGCTGATAAGGTAAGAGATTCTATTTGATAGAATTTAATCTGTTTGTATGCTAATAAAGTAAGTGATTCTATTTGACAGATTTTAATCTGTTTGTAAGCATACACTTTATCAGCATACAAACAGATTAAATTCTGTCAAATAGAATCACTTACTTTATCAGCATACACAACCACAGGTTGATGGGAACCCACAAATGTGTATATATAAAGTGAACCGGCCCATATATTACAAATGAAAGCAGAGATAACACGAGTAGGGGAAGGTCTATGGTGGTTGCTGGCGAAGATATTGAACACGGCAGTGGTGGTGAACAACGTCCGTACATGGTGGTCGCAGCCGTCGGGGGGCGAAAATGAGAATGAGCACGCTCTGACCTGGACTTTAGCTGCTCAACCCAATAATGGCTATCCTTTGCCAACACTACCACTGGTTAGCTCTTTTTTTTAACATGCTTTGTTTATTTATAGAACATTCCCTTTCTTGGCTGTTATCTTGGATGTATATATTTTTTACCTCTTCAAACTCAAGCTTCTATTATCATTTTTTCCCCCTTTTATATATTTGATACTTTGCTCCCCACATTTTAGATCAGCCCGGATCTCCATGGTCTCGATATATAGCTGCAGGGATAATTCCACTGCACCCATTTTTGTCTCTCTCTTTGCAGCTGTCTCTCACCTTATCTTGAATTTTGAAAATAAAAAAACGACTTAGCTTTAGATCGTGATAATTTGAGCTAAATTTTGAATAAAAATATCAAGTAATAAAGTAAGTTCATTAAAATTTTGCTTATTAGGATCAGCCTGACCCATTTTTAGCCTGGATGCAGCGCACAAAAAAATAAAATAAAACAAAATAAAAACTTGGAAAAGATGATTTTATTATTTCACTTTGTGTGTCTGTGTGTGTGTTTTTTTTTTAAAAGAATTAGTTTATTTCTAGAGACTTATTTTTAAAATATAAATTGCTACTTTATTAATAATAAAAAAAGGCATGTGATGTCTCATGACCAACAATAAATAGTCCTTAATGGCTTAGGGCTTGTTTGAATTTTTGTTAGAAAAATCATAATTTTCAATTTATAATTAAATTTAATATATAAGAAAGATGTTTGACTATATTTTTATGTTTATAAAATCATGGTTTTAGTTTTTAAAATTGATTTATTTAGTTATTCAAATGTGCACTTAGTCACATGAATTTATCTCTCATTTCCTCCAGCCGGCAGGGGCCACTTCTCACAACCATAGCCGTAGCCACTTCTTCTATTCCTCCGAAAGGCGAATCCCTGGTGCTGTCTTCTTCAACGCCAACATCTCCAATTTCTCTCATGAAGCCTTCTGCCCCAACGTTGTCTACGCTCCCATCATTACAATTCTACTTGCCTTCCTTCAAGTTCGAAGTTCAACGGTGATTACCTCACCCTTCCAACTTCACCCTGTCATGTTTCTAGTTGCTGTCCTGTGTTCCATAGCATATTACTTCAGTTTTGGGGCCACGTTTGTATTTCTTGGTTTTGCTTCTCTGTTTGAAGTGCTCACGTCAGCCTTTGGCAATTTGGCTGTTGCCTCTTTGATGCCTTTGGTTCTGCAACTTCCATGGTGGTCCATTTTCTTTATCCTCTTATTTTTGGGAGGGTTCTTTAAGTTGCTCAACAAACTTCATGGTATATATGGCAATATGCGTCGTCCATACCTTAGAACAGTACAGCAACTGCCTATATAAAGTCATTAGAGGATGGAGATTGATTCAGAAAAATGTTTCTTACCTTAATTTAGGGTATTTTCATGTGCCTTCTTTTCATGACTATATGTGTTTTTTTTTTGGGTGGATTCCACTTGATATATTCATCAATGTTGTAAAATGAGAACTAAAGCTCATCATCTTCTTCTCTTATTGGTTAGACAAGGGTCATTGTTCAAAATCTCTCAAGTAGTATTTAATAGAGATTTATATTTTTTGGCTTTATGATTAAATCTATTTTCTGCAACTGTGAATACTGAAAGATGGTCTAATAAAAGGGAAATTTTCATGCTAATTTGCCACTAATTTATCTATCTTGAAACCCATTTGTCTCCACGTCCGTAACTTCTGAAGGGACTTGCACAATTATAAAATAATCACAGATATTAAGCTGAAACGTCTACTTCAAAGATGATGTTGTCATGTAATCTATTTCAATTTCAGTGAAGGTTCTATCATTTCTTTATTGATATTTATAAGTCTCTCAATATCTTTCACATATATCTGAAACTAATCAACCTTTTATTACTTGACAGCTTAAGATATGTAAACCTTAATGACATTCACAGTTTGATCTCCCTTCAAATCGTTATGGTTAAAAGTGAAAACAAAAATTTGAATGCAAATCTGAGTTTGCTGCACCCGTTTAGTTAACTGGCTAGTACATTTCAATTCAATAAGTGACTTTTCATTAATCAGTTTCTCTATATTTTCATATATACCGAAAACTAATCTAACTTTTACCATTTTCATTTTGAAATATTGAGCTATTGTTGAGTATATGCCAGTTAGCTCTATGTTTTCCTCCCATTTTATTGCATATGGTTAACTTCTTTCTTTAACATTATAAGATATAGTTGATTTTGAAGCAACTATGTCTAGGGAAAACTAAGTGCAATGTCAACAAGTGATTCAAGAGCTTGATGTGAGTAAATCGAGGAAACTGATATCAACAAACTCAAAGTTGATGTCATGTAGGGTAAAATTTGCAAAGATGTAACAAGTTTAATAAGTAAAGATCTACAATTTCTGTTGATTAGGTAAGAAAGTAGGAGATCATTATGCATCTTTTGGGGATTTATAGTGACCACTAAGTTATCTTGGACTAATTTTTGTTCTTCCATATTTTCATTACTTCTCCCGTGCATAATTTGCTGAACCTGTTATGCTTTGGTACTTCTCCTTTTAAGGATTTTATCATTTTATTGATATGGAGGTCTTGTTGCTTTCCCTATTTTTATGTAAATGGTGTTATATTCGTACATTACATTTTTTCACTTATTTTTTAAAGTAATTTTCTAAGCCAATTATTCCATTTTTTATGTCTACAGGTCTAACTCATCGGAATATAGCTTCATTTCCTTACAGTTATTGTTGGACATTTAGTGGTAATGTAAGTTAGATTTTTTGGCTTACTTTAAATTTTTCTTACAATCTGGACCAATGTCTTTGGAGATTTTCTTGTGTTTATTTTCAATCAAGAGCTCTACCTGAATATAACTTCTTGATGTTAGAACTTCAAATCATATTGAATTGAATGATGTTGTCTCATGCCACTTGGCAATAACTGCTTTCATGACCTTGTTACTGAATAACTTATATTTAATCCTTTGAAAGGCAGCAATCTAGCCCTTTGCAGTGTATGTTTTTGGTTTCATTTGAATACTTATTAGGATTACTAATGCAAATAGCATGCATAACTTAATGAGATTCTTGTTCATGACATGGAAATTTCAATTAACTCTCAAATTTAGAATCATAATCCATTTCTGGTAAAAACAGATGAGCCATTCACAGGTCAATCAAATTATACTTAATGTGATATTCATGTTGGATAGTCTTACTCTTTCCAATTTGGATGGACCAGAATGTGAGTAGACTGCTATTTTATTATATGTGCATAGTTCATGTTTGCTGAAGTTCCGCATGATTCCCATTAGAGGGCCAGCTACCCGTCCTTTCTGCCCAATGGTTTTTATGAAAGGGAGGCATTAATGAACCAAATATGTCAGGAGGGATTAGAAATCAATGTTGCTTTTGCTTCCTTAATACTAAATATAGAACTAACATATTTGTTGACTTTATATTATTAATCTTCACTATGTTTGCTCTGCTAATGTGTCTTTTGGATCTGAAGATTTCTCTTCTATTGAGAATAACTATAGGCTTTCTAACCTAAGCTTGCAAGTTAGAGTTAACTTTAGTTGATTTGATAATAAAAAGTAGACTTCTAACTATTGAGTTAGTTAAGAGTATGTCTAAAGCTTTGTAGATGTTTTTAGATTATGCATATATACTAGCATCTGAGATATTACTAACTGAAATTTCAGATTTGAACAAACATAAGGTACATATGAAGCACACTTGTTTCAATAGTGGAGTCATATATGTGTTTAACATTTATACTAGATAGGACTCACATTTCCACTTATAGATACTTTATTTTCACATTGTGTTTCTCTAAGGATTTGTTCCTCTTAATAAGTGACTACTATTTACATGTTGGAATATTGAGCTCTAGTTGAGTAGAAGTTACCTTGCCCTCGGTTTTATTTTTATTTTCTTATATATTAACTTCTTTTTTTAACTTTATAGTACAACATGTTAGTGATTTTACATTACCAAGACTTGTAGGTTTTGTAGCAACTCTAGGGAAAAGTAAGTGTAATGCCAACAAGTTTTTGAAGATCTTGATGTGAGTAAGTCTAGGTAACTGATACAGAACTGAGAGAGGAGAGAGAACAGAAGAATCAATGACTAACTTTCATTAACATTTCTTCCCACTAATGAACTAACTCCTTATAGAAATAAATGACAGTTAGTAATGGTATTCGGTTAATACAGCTATTATTCAAGTACACTTACAATTCTTATATCGGCCATGCATAGTATGTCTTCTAAATTTTCCAAGCTATAATAAGTTTTAATCTGCATTCCCTATTATAATTGATGTTCTTGTACTTTTTCACATTTAATGAAAATCATGGACATGAACACATATAAGCTAATATTTCTATCCTAAGGCTTTTTTATTCATTTTCCTCTAGAGCTTTTGTTTATCATTTTGACGTCAATGCTAATGTGTCTTGCATTCCTTTCATTAAACCTTTACTCTTTTTCATTTTCCTCCGCTACATCATTTATTAATGTTTTTTCCTTTCTCTCTATACCAAGTGTTGCTTAAACTGATGAAATTTCATAGTTGGTGATCAGAATCATCGTGCTCATGCTACAAGTGAAGTTCTTTTCTTTGATTTTTAATATTTGTATATACACCCTCAGTCTTAATATGTCTATCCTTAGAGGCCATACTTGAAAAATTCCACTGATTAGATAACAATACTTTGGTAAGAATGTAGTGGGTCATTATGATATGACCATGTTTTCTTGAACTAATTTTTGTTCTTCTATATATTACTTCTCCCTTGTTAGGGCATAATTTGCTAATCATGTTATGTTTTGTTACTCCTTCTTTTAAAGATTTTATCATTTCATTGATATGGAGGTCTTCTCAACTGACATTTGATGTATACACGTTACTTTCCTATTTATTTGTATTGTGATGCATCTTTGTCTATTTAATTTTTTTTCACCTTGTTTGGTTTTTGTACAATTTTCTAATCCATTTATTTTTCAATGTGATTATTTCATTTTTCATATGCAAAGGTCTAAATTATGGCTTCATTTCCTTGTAGTTATTGTTGCGCATTCAGTGATAGTGCATGTAAATTAGATTTTTGAATTTCTTTTAAATGTTTTTTACAATCTGGATTAATGTGTGTGTGTGTGTGTGGGGAGATTTTCTCATGTTTACCTTCAAACAGGAACATGACCAAACTGTAACTTCTTAATGTTGATGTCAGAACTTCAAATCATGTTGGAAGTAATGATGTTTTATATATCATGCTATTGGCTATAAGTCTATAACAACTTTCATGACCTTGTTACTAAATAATTTGTATATTATCCTTTAAAAGTTTTTGTAACAGTCTGAATATTTATTTAGACTTAAAATACTCATGATAAGTAAGATTTATCAGATAGTTTTCATAATATGAAAAATTGAATTATTTTGAACTCTAGAATTCAGAATCGTAGTCTAGTTCTAGTGGAAATTGAAGGGCATTTCACAAGTCAATCATATTATAGTCAATTTCATGTGATATTCATGTTGGTAGTCTTCTTTTAGTTTCGTTGGACTGGGATGCAAACAGACTATTATATTTTTGCAAGTTCAAGGTTCTTATTTGGTGGCATTACAAGTGCCAGCTCTGTTAATGAATCATTATGGCAAAGGCTCATAGCACTTCATACTATTCTGATTCTAAAGGCCTTGCAATAGGTCCTCTCCCTGATGATGTTTATGACGAAGAGGCATCAATGTTCTAGGAAAGAGATTAATGTTTCTTTTTCTTCCTTCAGTTTAGATTCTGGATACAAAAATGACATATTTGTTAACTTTGCTTTTAATCTTCATTGTCTATTCTGTTTAGGTGTCTTCTAGATTTGACCAGTTCTCTGCTACAAAAAATGACTAGTTTTCTCCAGTCTTCTGGATCTAAACCCAACTACAAGTTAGAATTAACTTGCAGCTGATTTTGATTGTTCAAAAAAAAAGGAATGGTTCGATAATGGAGTTCTATATATAAGTGTCTTTTTCCTCTTAGTGACTGTTAGTATTTTTCCAAGCAATAATCTATTACCTTTAGAGATTTGATTTCTGTTTTGTCTTGTGTTTGAAGCACCCTTGACCCCAATGGATTGGTTTTTCCTGAAGCATGGACAGCAATCCTTGTTTGTTTCTCTTGACAATGTTGGAGCATAGAACCTAGGAGCAGAAAACCTGGAGAGGTGGAATCTAGCTCGAGAAACTTATCTAATGATTGATGATTGTTAATCTTGAAGAAGATGGGGAAACAAAAATGGCAACACCAGATAATGCACTGTATTGTAGACCCCTCAAGTCTCTTCATCCTAATTATCCAATCTTTCCAACGTATTACTTGTTTAATTGTTTATTGTCATGTTTATAATTTCTCTTAAAGAACCTTTTATGATTGTTTTATGAGTTTTACCTACAGAGAGCAGGACCACTCTTATGGAGTTCATGCTTTTAGAGAAAGCTTGAAGTTTTACATGATGACACTATTGGCACTTTTTACTACCATTTTCATATGTAGCTGAGTTTCCTTGATGTGTCTGCAAGGTTAGCATCTTCACAGCTCAATTGATGTTTTGGTGCTGTAGACATCTCTAGGATAGTTGCCCAAATGGTGATTGCTAATTTTTAGGTCTCAAGAATTTTTTGGATCTTTAATATTTCTTTTGCTTTACCCTTATTTTCTTTGTAATTTAGTTGTTAATTGACTGAATGATGAATCAATGATCTAATTGGGTTTGATATCAATCTTTATGTAGCAAATTTTGGATAATTTAATTCTTAATTCATTCTAATCCAGGAGTACACAACTTAGATTCATAATCATTCAACATGAATTTAATTTTTTCAGTTGAAGAAGCTTATGTATTAGAGCTGCTAATTTAATAGAGTGATGAGCCTGACCCTTATCTACCCATGCATCAGCCTTCCAACATATATCAAAATAGGTAATATAGATGTCTACCCTTCTCTTTTATATAAGGGTGAACGTATGTGTTAAAAATTACAATAAAAAACTTATAATATTTAATATAAAGGACCATAAAATTAATAAATATAATCTAAAATTTGTTCATATTATTTTTAATTATTTGTTATATTTATTATTGTCATGTGAGTTTGTGAACTCATTATTAAATTAGATGCCTTTTCTTTGCAGGCGTATAAGATATTACATGTACTCTTGTTTGGGGGAACCACCAACGGCACCAGTATATTAAAGTATAATCAACCTTTCTCTTGCATATATGAGAAGAGCAAAGGTGGGGAATCTTTCTCTTGCATAACTACTTCCATAAATTTAAGGTTTATTGCATATCTTTGTCCCTATATATATATATATATATATTTTAAAAATTTTAAAAGAAAAACCATCATGTTTCATGTACACTTTACTACTCTGTCTCTCTGTTTTTTTTTTGTTTTTTTGGAATGGAAAGTGGAATTTCATTAAAAAAAAAAACTGTACAGATACAAAAGGCAAAAGGCAAAAGCCAACAACAAAAATGACTTAAAAGTAGGAACAACTTTAAGAGTATGATTGGCTAAGATTCTAGTATGTATAAGGAAAGAATCAACATTAGAGTGTTTGTGAATGAATATCCTTTGGCTCCTTACTTCCCATAGCTTCCAGCAGAAAATACTAATTCCCACTTTCCATGAAGTATCAACTTTTTTTAGAGAGAATAACTTTAAGAAGCCATGTGTCAATCTTATCCTTGCAGAATTCAGCATACATATCTCTGCATAGGATCTTCTTCCACACCGATATTATGATGGAGCAATTCTTGAAGACATGGTTGATGTCTCAACTGCATCTATACAGAATGCGCAGTGGGGGTTATCAGTCATCTTCCTCCATAGCCGTTTGGCATTTGTTAGTAGTTTCCCTTTGAGCATGGGCCAAACAAAAGCCCTTACTCGTTGAGCCATTGGGAGTTTCCATTCTTCATCATTCCAGCTAGCAAATTGAAAAGCTTTATATACTAATTTAAATGTGAAATCCCCATTAGAGTTAAATGCCAGAAGGAGGTAAAGGAGCTTGTTCAATGGGGGTTTATAAGCCCTTAGCCCCCGTGAGATGAAGGTTGGCATAGATCAGCCTACTTGATTATGCTTTACTACTCTTTAGTATAAGATAAGACTATTCTATGATTTTTATTGCAAGATTTTTTGTACAAGTTGCAATATCATTTTTTTTATATAAAGTATTAATTCTATGCATTTGAAAGCTTTGATAGATTTTAACATGTAAGAATGATTAAGAAATAAGAACAGTGTTTTGATCATCAATGTGTATGCACACGTACACATGTAAATTTAGATGACATTTTGGCTTTGCAACATTTACGGTAGCACCAAATCCTACAACAATAAAGTATGCACTCAGAAAGTAGTATTGCTACTTCATCCAACAAGGTTGTATATGTATAATGTTGAAGGTAAAACCTGTGCAGATTCCACAGCTAATAATGCAAACTTTGTCAAGAAGAGTAACAGGGTTAATCTTAGCGACACATCCAGCATGCAAGACAGTGTACTCGATGAATGTGGAAGTCCCCACAAAATGATATATTGGCTGTCCATTTTTAGAGAATCTGGACTTGCCGTCGTTGATTATTACACCCCTGTCTGTGTTGATCCTTAGAAGGTCACACATGTTGCTTTCTTTCAATTTACAGTGCGGGCACTCTCCACACTCCCCTCTGAATACTGGAAGAGCCTGATCTCCTAGTTTTAGATGAGTTACTCCCTCCTTTAAGCTCTCTACAATCCTAAATAAAATAAAAATAACATCAACATCCATTTGTGTATTTGTTTTATGTACGCTAAAGGAATTTATAACCAACGTGAAATAGGTAAGAATTAAAGATGAATTTATAACCAACGTGAAATAAGTAAGAATTGAAGATGAAGGAAGGAACATACCTTCCGACTTCATAGCCAAGTATATGAGGGAATAGTGGAATTTATCCCTATCATAAGAGAATCTTGAGATTTGACAATAAAAGAAGTGTAATGATAGGTGATGCAATGAAATGAAAGAATTGACCTTGGCTTCCTAAAAGTAAACATCAGTATGACAAAGGGCTGTGAAAAGAATCTTGAAATGCACTTATCTGGCCTGCAGTGGCACTACCTCTATGTCATAGACCAGCATAAGAAGAATGACGTGGCTAGTAAGTTGGCTGATTTGGGTGGTGAGCCACAAGGAAGTTATGAGGGACAGATGGCATCCGATCAGAGGCCAGCAAAAAAGACAAGAAAATTTGTTAGAAGAGGCATTAGGAAGCGTAAGAAATCATGGAAAGTGAGGGCTAATGAAGGTATATGAACTAGGAAAGGACACTGGCAAGGGGGTGTGAAGAATATTGATTAGTCATTTCCCTTCTGTATGAACTTTCCTTTCCTGAATCTGCGGTTCTTCTACTCTTTCTGATATTACTCTGTTACTTGATGTCATTTTCCTAGTGTAGATCAGTGTTTTCCATTAGAATCTTTTGATGTACCTGAATTTTCACTATATAAATAATACTACACTGATCCTTTGAGATTCCTTTTGCTGTATTCTTTCTTATTTCTGCAGTGACCGTGACAAAAGGTGCTTTCATTGAGAGCCTGATGACTGATAAAAATAGGATGAAGGAATTGGCTGCTGAAATTAAGAAACTCCAAGAGTTAGGGAACAACATGAATTGGCTCATAATGCCTGGATGGATAAGTTTGATAGTAGTATGGATGATATGGCTAAGGTGATGATAGAGTTATCTGCAAATGTCGCTAAGCTTGTTCATGAGAAAGCCATCGGGTCTTCGAACTTAGAGCAGATGGTCGTTGCGCATAACAATCAAGGACAGATGGTTCAGGTGAAGCATGCAAAGATTGACTTCCTGAGGTTTGATGGGACTGATCCTTTGAATTGGATTTTTAAGGCAGAACAATTCTTCAATTACTATGAAATGTTAGACTCGCAGCAGGTGATTTTGGCCGCCATTAACATGGAAGGGGATGTGATGCCATGGTTTTAAATGATGAAGAAGACGCACCAGGTTCCTACATGGTCTGCTTTAACTCAAGCCGTAGGACGACAATTTGGCCCAACTCAGTATGAAAATCCCAGGGCTCAACTATTCAAGTTGACTCAAACTGGGTTAGTCCAAGAGTATCACATTAGATTTATGGTTATAGCAAATCGGGTTGAAGGTCTTTCTACTGAAGCCCTACTCGACTGTTTCATCAGTGGGTTACGTGATGATCTCCACTGTGAGGTCACTTCTAGAGAGCCGGAGTCACTACCCAAGGCCACTGCCTTGGCGCGTTTGCTAGATGAGAAAACTACAACAACCTGGGGATATTTGAAGGGGCGAAGTCCGACAACCTTCACAACCATAGTCACGACTCCGAGAGGGTTGACCAGTACTTCGGGTTTGGGTAGTACTAGCACAGCAAAGGCGAACTTGCCTCCATTATTACCTAAACCGAACACGAAGCCTCTTATGCCAGCGAAGAAATTGACGCCAGCCGAGATTCAATTAAAGAGAGAGAAAGGCCTTTGTTATATGCGTGATGAGAAGTTCTCTGCCACTCATTGGTGCCCTAATCGCCAGATTATGATGCTACACTATGAAACTGACGATAACCCAATTGAAGACCAGATTGAGGATAAAAGAGAAGAGCAAAATCCTGAAAACACTGGTCCAGTAGAGTTGCATCATCTGTCATTAAATGCATTGCATGGAACTTCGGGTAAGTGTACTATCCGTTTTATTGAAAATATTTTAGGAATTGATGTGTTGGTTTTACTTGATGGTGGAAGATCAGATGATTTCATTCAACCGAGGATTGTTAAACATTTGAATCTACCAGTTGAGAGAGTTCCTCCATTTCGAGTAATGGTAGGAAATAACCAGTATATGCAAGGTGACAGTATAGTGAAGGATCTGCCCTTAATGATCCAAGGCACTAGGATACACGTTTCGGCTTTTGTTTTGCCATCCACCAGTTATGATGTGGTATTGGGGTCCTCTTGGTTAGCCACACTCGGGTCCCATATCTCTAATTATAATGAAGCTTTCATCAAGTTTTTGACAAAGGATAGGTAGGTCACTTTACAAGGTAATAAGATAGCTTTACCAGCCGAAGCTCAGATTAACCATCTACTCCGTTTTCAAGAGACTAATTGAGAAGGCGCAAGATAGTTCAGCACTAGTATTACCTAGTGATACTCCTATAGATTTAGCTGCAGTGCTAAATCAATATAAGTCAGTGTTTGATGTTCCCAAAGGCCTTCCTCCGTATCGCACGTAAGATCATGCCATAAATTTGTAACCAGGGGCAGGGCCAGTCAAGGTGAGACCATATAGGTATCCCTTTAGCCAGAAAAGTCAGATAGAAGAAATGGTGAAAGAAATGTTGGAAGCTAGCATAATACGACCAAGTAACAGTCCTTATTCAGCCCCTGTTCTGTTAGTTAAAAAAAGATATGGGTCATGGCGTTTTTGCACAGATTACCGTGCCTTGAATGCAGTAACTATTAAGGATTCCTTCCCTATACCAACAGTAGATGAGCTGTTAGATGAACTAAAGGGAGCCAGCTATTTTTCAAAGCTTGACTTGCGTTTCGGCTACCACCAAATATTAATAAAGAAGGATGACCAACACAAGACAGCCTTTAGAACACACCATGGCCACTATGAGTGGTTGGCAATGCCATTTGGGCTCACAAATGCGCCTGCGACTTTTCAGTCTCTAATGAATGACGTCTTTAAGCCTTATCTGCACTACTTTGTTCTGGTGTTCTTCGATGATATTCTGGTGTATAGCTCTGAATGGAAGGATCACTTACAACATCTAAAACAGGTATTAGCCTGTTTATTACAGCATCAACTCTTTGCTAAATTATCACAGTGTTCCTTTGGGCAAAGAAAGATTCATTACCTTGGCCATATTGTTTCTAGATATGGAGTAGAGGTGAATCAAGAAAAAGTACAAGTTGTGAGAGACTGGAATATCCCCATCAATGTGTCACAATTAAGGGATTTCTAGGTTTGACTGGGTATTATAGGAGATTCATAAAGGGATATGCTAACATAGCTCAACCCCTGATCACTTTACTTCATAAAAACAGCTTTGTTTGGGGAGGGGAAGCACAGAAGGCTTTTGACTAGTTTAAAAATGCAGTATTACAAGCCCCTATACTTGCACTACTAGATTTCTCCAAAACTTTTATTGTAGAAACAGATGCTTTCGGTTGTGGAATAGGAGCTGTTTTGTCTCAAGAAGGGCATCCCATAGCTTTCTTTTCAGAAAAGCTTTCACCAAGGATGCAGGCCCAATCAACATATGTTAGAGAACTCTATGCAATTATTGAGGCTGTTGCCAAATTCAGACATTATTTATTTAGTCATTTTTTTATTATAAGAACAGATTAGAAAAGTCTGAAGCATTTAGTAGAACAAACAATACAAACCCCTGAACAAGAGGCTTGGCTTCCAAAGTTATTGGGATACAACTACATTATTGAATACAAGCCAGGAAAGAACAATCAAGCAGCAGATGCCTTATCAAGATCTTGTTACATGGCCATTAGTGAAGTTATTCCAGCAGTAACTGACGAACTACTAAATGAACTCAAGACCTCCATTAAGGTACAATCTCTTATTTCTAAATAGGAGATAGACCCTACTACTCTGCCTAACTACTCAGTTAAGAATGGTTTAGTGTACTGGAAAAAGAGGTTGTTTGTACCTTCTACTATGCATAGCATTATCTATAAACTTCTTGAGATGTATCATTCTTCACCTGTGGGGGGCATGCAGGCTTACATAGAACTTGTGCTAGAATAGCTACCCATTTTTTCTGGTCAGCTATGCAACAAGACATATCAGAGTATATATGTCATTACCAAGTCTGTCAAAAAGCTAAAATATCACAGACTCACCCTGGTGGTTTATTGTATCCTCTACCAATTCCTCAACAGGTTTGGGAGGATATAGCTATGGATTTTATCATTGGACTCCCTATTTCTAAAGGGTATTCTGTCATTTTGGTTGTTGTTGATCGTCTGTCCAAATATGGGCACTTTATTCCACTACGGGGTAACTTAACAATCAACAAGTGGCTGATGCTTTCATATCCCAAGTAGTGAAGTTGCATGGCATACCTAAATCAATTTTTTTCAGACCGTGATAAGGTCTTTATTAGTCATTTTTGGCAGCAATTGTTTAAGTTACAGGATACTCAACTTAAGATGAGCATGGCCTATCATCCTCAAACGGACAGTCAAAGTGAGGCTTTAAATAGGTGTTTGGAGATGTATCTCAGGTGTTTTGTGTTTGACACTCCGAAGCAGTGGGTAACTTTCCTTCCTTGGGCAGAGTATTGGTACAACACCTCTTTTCACTCTTCTATAGGTATGTCTCCCTCTAAAATACTGTATGGACATGAATCTCTAGCTCTACTTCCTTGCACTTTTCCTATCGAGGTTCCTTTTGATGTTCAACAGCAGCTACAGTAGTGAGATGAGATATTGGCTTTGTTAAAAGTTAATTTGATGAAGGCTCAGACACGAATGAAGAAGTATGCTGATAGAAAAAGGACTAAAGTTCAGTTTGCTGTGGGGGATTATGTCTTCCTCAAGTTACAACCGTATAGGCAATCTTTTGTATACCCAAGACAGTACCAAAAACTTGCCCTGAAATATTTTGGTCTTTTCTTGATTATGGAGAGGATTGGGGAAGTTGCTTATAGGCTACAACTACCTGCTACCGCTAAGATACATCCGGTGTTTCATGTTTCCTTATTAAAAAAATGTGAAGGATCCCCTGATGATCAATATATTCCTCTACCCATGTTGGATAAAGATAATTGTCTTATGCTATCTCCTGTTGAAATTTTAGCCCAACGGACAATTCGGATATTAGGCAGATGGTGGCAGCAGTACTTGGTTAAGTGGAATTCTGATGTGACCCCAACTTGGGAATTCAAGGAATACTTGCTTGAGCAATTTCCAACACTTGACCTTGAGGACAAGGTCATTCTTGATGGGGAGGGATATGTCACAAACCAGCATAAGAAGAATAACGTGGCTAGTAAGTTGGCTGATTTGGGTGGTGAGCTACAAGGAAGTTATGAGGGACAGATGGCATCCGATCAGAGGTCAGCAGAAAAGACAAGAAAGTTTGTTAGAAGAGGCACTAGGGAGCGTAAGAAATCATGGAAAGTGAGGGCCAATGAAGGTATATGAACTAGGAAAGGACACTGGCAAGGGGGTGTGAAGAATATTGATTAGTCATTTCCCTTCTGTATGAACTTTTCTTTCCTGAATCTGCGGTTCTTCTACTCTTTCTGATATTACTCTGTTACTTGATGTCATTTTTCTAGTGTAGATCAGTGTTTTCCATTAGAATCTTTTAATGTACCTGAATTTTCACTATATAAATAATACTACACTGATCCTTTGAGATTCCTTTTGCTATATTCTTTCTTATTTCTACAGTGACCGTGACACTTTACCTCTTCAATCGACAGTGGCTTCCCTGGTTACCAAGCCGCCACAACTACATTTCACCAATTCCATACAAAACAATTAGTATAATCAGACACTTATATAAGATGCAATACAGAATTGAGGAGAGAGAAGAAATTTTATATGTGAAGAAGATGGTGAAAGATAGAGGAGTGAAGAGATTAAGTATGAAGGCTGACCTCTGCACTTGATAACTTAACCAGCCGTGCTAGACATGGTAGTTTTTGAGAACTTAGTATGAGGGACGACAATAGTAGTGAGAAATTGTTGAAAGTTGTTGGGATGTGGGGGAAAGTAGAGCCTAGCAAAAGCTATATATACTCAGGAAAGACATGCCCACTTGGTTGCCCATAAAGAACCACGAACTGAATTTGAGTTTTGATTTTTGGTTTAGAGGGTTTGAAACGCAATAATACCACTGTAGTTTTACAGCATCGTCCAATAGGAGCTAAAAGGAAATTTTAAAGTGGTTTCTTCAATGCTGGTTTCAACTCGAGGTTATGCTTTATTATTTTAGATCCTTTGTCTTTTCAATCCCTGGCCTCTCGTCATTAAACAAATTTTTTAGCGTGGCTTCTGAAAAAAATAATTGAAAATTAAATACCACAGCCATGAGAAAACTAGTCGCGTTAACCAGTGAAAACTAGAAACATAGGTTAAGCCTTGGCGATTTGGAAGAGTGTAAGCTAAATATCATCAAGGATTAATTATTAAACTAATTTCTTGGTTACTTAAATTATGCAAATAGTTAACATCACAAGCTCTTGCAATAAGACATTATAAAGATGCTGCCAAGTGCCAACACAGGAATTCTTGCCATGGCTACTTTATAATTCTAGGAATAAAACTACGCTATTAAAATGCAAGTTGCTGTGTTTATCTATTATATATCACCAGATAACGATTGGCAATATTCTTCATTCTTATATCATCTATTCTAGAATTAATCTATTTTTTTGAGTAATTTTGATTCATTTAACATTAAATATATATGTATATATGTATATATTATAGAAAGCCGTATGAATAATATTACCCTCACCTATATTTTTGAAAATCTACAATAGATGAGCCTCGAAATCTACTTTAACCCTAATAAACCCATCACGTCAACATAATACATAAAATTTATTGATAATGATGTTAAGCATATTAAGTTATAATTAATTTAATCTACATATGCTATATTGAACTTTCTTCTTCTCTATCTTGCTGCTATGTTGGCTTTATTTGCTTCCACATTATCTTTCATTTCTCTTTCTTTTCCCCTAAAAGTCCTTCATTTCTCCTATAAATATATTCAGAGAGGCCAGTCACTCTATCAACTTATAAACAAATGTCTCTTTCTTTCTCTCTAGCTCATTTTTGTAGGGGTTAATTTGCTCTTTTATCCTATTTATTTTATGACAATTTTGTTCTTAATTTTAATATATACATAATTTAAAATTAAACATAGTCATCCTACCATTACTCTGTACTAAAATGAATTTATTATCTAAAAACTAAAAGATATATTTACATTAGTTGTATTTTTTATTCTGACAAATAAAAATTAATACATTTAAAATTATATTAACATTGAAAATAAATTAAAGACTTGTAAAACATATGACATATTAATTATATATTTAATGTGTTCGTTTAATGTATTTTAAAATATAGATTAAAAAATAGTGAGAGTTTATTATATTAAAAAGGTCATGGCACAATGTCTTGGAAAGAAAAGAAAGGTCAAGAGAAAAGTTATACTCCCTTAGTTCAAAAATATAAGGCATTTTTAATCGAATCTCACCTCTAATAAAGTAGTTATCTATTTTTAAGCTAACCCTATTTTTTTAATATTTACTTTATTAAACACCTTACA